TAAAACTTTCTTTTAAAAACTGCACATATCTGGTCCTTGTTTCACTAGCTTTAACATGTGAAAGCTCTTTATCTTAATTAGATTAATTAATTAATTAATCTCTTGGAATTCCCAGTAACTATTAAGAAACTCTCTTCATATCTTAATGAACATGAATGATGTATTGGATGAGGGTTACCCATTGTCATACCTTATTATATGACCTTGGTATTCTTTGCTAAAGATTTCTCTGTACAGCATAAAAACGTATTGATACAGTATATTCAAGCCACTTAGCTCATGCTTTGCTATATTAAAAATTTACCTCACTGTTTTAAACTAGTCGGTTTTTTTATTTTATTTTACGAAAAGACAATCTTAGTTAGGCCTAATGCATCATCGACATGTAACCAACACAACATCACTAAACATCACTAAACTGAACATCACTGACATCTATAAAATAATATATAAAATCTAATATAAAATAATCTAAACTTTTAAGATAAATTATTTTTTTTCAACGATAAGATATATTTATATGACAAAGACTTAGCCACATAGGGTAAAATATATATAATAGATTTGAGGGTCTCTAAAATAAAACATTTAACATGAAAATATTATAAAAAAACCAAGTTTAAGACTTTCTATTTGAAACAAATTTGACTTTCTCAATGATCTAGTGTAATACGTATTCACAGCCCCAGCTCAGGTCACAGTTAAGATAATTTCCCTCCCTAATTTATATTCACGGAATCACCCGCTTCTCAATGACTTCTCGTGGTTGACTAATTGAAAGTCAAACCTGAACTTATTACTGCAATTACTACTGACAGGTTCTCATTTAGTTAATAATTATAACAATTTATGATCACTATAGCATGTTAGAATAATATTGTAAGTATTTTCCGTCAGTCTTTTTGTAAAATACTTTTGATTAAATGACAATTTGTACAGCTTTTAAATTATCGCCTAAGTTTTTTTTAAATTCATATTATTAATTTGGAATGATTCAAAATTGGGGCTTTCTTTATTTAATTAAGTGAGTTGAATTTTTGTTTATCATGCTCTCAATTTCAATTGCAATATAATTTTATTTTGTTTAGATTGTTTACTAGAAAACCTCTGAAAAAATTTTAAGCCTGGAAATTTTAAGGCATGATTTAATTTTATGCACTAACTGGTCTAGTAAAACACCTATTTTAGTGTTTATCTTCAATATTGTTAGAAAAATGGATGAAATACAAATATAAATGCCGTTTGCAAACCATAGACGGATTCAAAATAATGCTTAACTCGATTCAACCATGCGTGATCGTTTAGTAGTAAGTCAATCTTATATGTACAGAAATTCCAAAATACTTTTTTATAGTTTGAAAGAAGAAAGTTGTTAAAGTAGAGTAATAAAAGTGACCGTATAAAGAGTGTATGGCTATTACACGAAAAATGCTATTTATAAATTTATATTGATTACTTCATTTTAAATTTTACAATAACTCCTTTATTTGCTTGTCACAGTACAATCGGAAAGTAAAGCTGACTGTTTATCTAATTGGCATGGATATGGCACATAGTTGTAATCAAATTGGTTGTAAAATAGTTCAAAGTGTGTAAAAAAATCAACGTCATTGCAAGTGGGTTTAATTGGTTCGTAGTTGCCAAATTTAAACAAAATGTTAATTATCTATTACTAGCTGTACCCTCGGGCTTTGCCCCGTTTAACTTCATAAGTATTCGCATGGCTGGCGCATGGTTGAAGTTCGTTCGCTACGCTCACTCACCTTTAGGTTGGAGCTCGTTCGCTGCGCTCACTTGCCTTCAGGTTAGCTCGTTCGCTACGCTAACTCGCCTCCAGGTTGAAGTTCGTTCGCTACGCTAACTCACCTTTTGGTTGCAAATTAGCTGTTGTCATAAATTAAAAAAAAAATGATAGTGCTGCACCCTGTTGGTAATCCTTGTAACTTTAATGTTATTAAACATCATAGAATAGAACTAACTTGTTTAATTGAAACAGCTTTTAAGATTCATTAATTCCTTTTAAATATGAAAAATCATAAGGTTAACATGGGAAACTCCAGACTCCAGAGCCACTGGGGCGGAGCCCGAGAGTCCGATCAGAATAAAAACTACTTAGTTTTCCTATTTAATGCCTAAAGAATCAGTGTACCAAATTTCAGCCTCCTAGGTAAATGGGAAGTGGGAGAATTAGTGATGAGTGAGTCAGTGAGTCAGTTAGTCAGTGAGGGCTTTGCCTTTTATATATTTAGATTTATTTAAACGATTATTTTACTACTGTTCAGTCAAGAGTATATTAAATATATTTATCCAAAGAGGGATAGAACTAGAAATATTTATTTGATCGAGAGTTCCTGGCAGTATTTCATATCATATCATCATGCCATACCTTTATGACTTTCCGATCATCTGCTAGTGTAGGAACATATTATGTTTTTTATCGTAGGTATTTTTAATAATATAATTATTGAAGCCGAAACTTTATGGTCCTATCCATATTTATTGTTTGTATAATTATGGTATTCTTCACCAACAACCTATTTTGTGTTATCATTTCTAAGTGATTATAATTTGTGCAAGTTGCGTCAGAAAAGAACACCCTTTCAGATGCCGCAACTAGAAACAACACTTTTTGAAACTGGTTAAATAAGTCAAAATACAACGAAAATCAGGCATATTTTCCCCAAAAACGTTTTGTTTGAGAGATATCAGTCATTTTGTTCGTTTTAATTTCACTTTATAGCTTAAAAACTATTTAAGATATCCTTATTAAATATTTTACGCGCTTTTAGAAAGTTATAAGTAGTAAAAAAAAATACCATTAGAAAATATATTTTTTTGTTTCTAAATTGCAGCTAATTAAATTTTTTATGACAAAAATTTCTATAAATTGTTTTTTTTACATAAAGACTAGTCCAGAAAATATGTGTTTACCGGACAAGTATGGATGTCACTCGTCTTGTCTTGAACGAGATTATACGAGTACGGTGAAAACATTTTTGACGAGTAACGTACGATATTTTCACCGTACTTCTCACTAACCTAATGATAACAAAACTTACAAATTCGTTATATATTCCCATAGACTAAATGAATTTTTGTCACACTACACCGTTATAACAGACTTTTGACGCATAATATTAGTCCGGAAAACAGACGTTCCCCGCCTGCTTAGTCAAATGGGTTTTCATTACTTGCTACTATTGTGCTGTAATGAATTTTTACCAGGCACCAGCTGATTATAATTGGCGATAAGGCAACGAGTCAATAAACTAAAACATAACCTCTATTATAAGTTATAAGAAGTGATTGTTAAGTTCTATAGTCGGTAGAAATTTATGAATCTGTACAGTTTTTTGTGTTAGTTTTATTGTTAGTTTAGAGTAGTATGGCGAAAAATATCGTACGCCAATTGTCCAAAATGTGTTTACCGTACTCTTATGGTAAACACTTATTTTAAGGACTAGTAACGTTCGTGCCACCTGCAGGAATAGCAAATCATCCATAGTAAATAGGTAAATTCTGTAAAAGTAAGATTTTTTCAAAATTTATGCATATTAATTTATTACTTTGGTAGCCTTCATAATCTTATAATTAAAATTATAACTTCAATTTGTATAAGTTGAAAGTTGTTCGGGGAACATATGAATAAAGAACTCTCTATATACGACAAGAAAGGCATTTAAAACGAGAAGGGTCGTTGATGGTATGTGGCTACTGACTATCGAAATTATTCTTTAGCACCAATAAGGCTGAGTTATGCTTCAAATTCTACGAAAGTTTTAGGTTCGTTGTCATTCAACATTTATTTTAATTTTTAAGCCTCCAGATTAATTTTCACAAAAGTTTAGCTTGATTGTATGATGAATTTTTTCAAATAAACTAAACTTAACGATTTTATTTCACCTAGATAAAATATTACTACATCCACCTCCAAGTTTACTTAAACACTAATATCGTTTCTCTGATCCATAAAGCTTGAGTGTTTCTCTTTAAAACTTAAGGTGTTCACTTAGCCAAACAATTGTTGATATCTAAAACTAGTGTTACACAGCATTGATACAAGAATTGACAATCCTCGACGAGGTCCGGGAGCGAAGAGAGGACATTGGCTGGACGTAAAGTAAACGACGAGCAGTGAACTGCCCGCTGGGAAAGATAAAGTAGCCCAACCCACCCTCATGCTGCGAAGTATATAACTCGGGGACGTAACACTGTTTAAACCTATCTTATTTAAACCGGACGAATTGATATTTGATGAAACTAGTCGCTTTAGCAGAACTTTTCAACGGGATGTGGAAACAGAGGATAATAGTTTGGTGCTTAAAATCTAATCTAGAAAGTAGTTACCCATCCAACATCGATTTCTAAAATAACTTAAACTAAAAATAAATAAAATCACTACCTTTTATTTCATAAAAGCCCCTATTGTGAGTTAGGACTATTAATTAATCAAGTTAAGTTAAATATCACAAATGAAGTACACGTATAAATCAGCAACAAATATCTACAAACGTTTAGTTCAAACTAATATGGGAACTGTAATACCCGTTCTAAGGTATTTGGCTCGAACGGAACCGGTTTTCCTATTTAGTTTGTTTGCCACCTCTAAGGTATAATAAATGTAATGATATATCTTTTTTATACGGTGTAATTGATTTGATATAAGTGAACTGAATACAAACAGTATAAATAAAATATTCACTTTTGTAAACAGTATTTTTCTTCCTAATGAAAACAATAAACTTACAATTAATTGTTAAATGTAAATGTAGTGGTGTTGAAATCGTGTTCGTGTAAGTTATAAATTAGTTCACCATCCCACTAGAAAAAAGACATCTTGCAAATAATTTTAATCTTCCACAGTAGTTTAAAGCTCATGATGTTTATTATATAAAACTACGTTATGGAGTAGGTAAAAAAAATCAAACCAACATTGTAATTTAAATATATGTAATTAACATTACCATTCAGTTAACATGTAAACAAAATTATATTCAATCAGATGTTTTGTTGCTAATATGCCAAAGAATTACTTTATTGGTTCCTGCCGCTTACACTCCTTTTGTACATCGGGATGATATGTCTTGAATCCCAGAAAACCCTGCAAAAAATGGGTTTACTAACAGACACGTTACTTTTTAACAGGTACAATTTTTGTTTTGCTTGTCACCGTAACAATCGGAAAGGTTTATCGTACACAATTCACTGTAATCAAGTCAACTGTATTGCGTTGACAGGTGTTGTCAGAGTGTCAAGTCACAATCATTAGGTTGATAAATCGTTTTTTTCTCTTTACTGTCAAGTTTACTATCAGTAGTACAAAATCATCATACGTTTCAATCATATTTGATTACTTAAGAAAGAAAAAATCCATTATTATTAATAAGGCGTTGTAGTATAAACATATATTTGACTATTATAATCATAATTTAAGGAAGCAAAGTTGACTGTTTATCTAATTGGCATGTACTGTATATGGCACAGTGATATATTTCAAATCAAATTAGTTTTAAAATATTTTAAAGACAATCCGTCTGCATTCGGTTTTAACTGGTTCGTAGTTGCCAAATTTTGACACGTATTAATTATCTATTATTTATTTCAACTATTATTTTTCTACTGTTAAGCCACGAGTATATATAATACTAGCAGATTCGTACGGGGTTGGCATATAAGTATAAAATACTTAAGGGAGAGAACACGGTTCAAGAAAATTTGGTTCTTTTAATGTATTAATATGTATAAATATAGTATAGCACATCTACCATAGCCAAAATGTTCTACCACTGCACTTAAACCACAGAAAAAAGACACATATCGATATAGTACCTTCTCCACAGTTTTGACCAGGATGGGAGTCGGTGTCGGGTTGGTCAAGTCCACACTCCACACCTCGTCAGACTGACCACGCTTGAAGTGACCAAAGTACAGGATGTCCCGAAACACGTCCACGGCATGTATTTCTCCCCATCTGAAAATGGTGTATTAAACGTTAAGTAAACGTTTTTGCACTTTTTGTAGTTGGTTAGTACAAACTGTAGACTGCAAGCAAGTATCTATACAAAACAGTATTTAGTAATATAAAAATTGTGAGATTAATGTGTAAGCTGGAATAACTTGATGAATTATTACGATAATTTTTTTTATCATCAATCATCCTACAAAAAAGTATTCCTTATGCATAATTAATCATGTCATTGCAATCATATTTTAAGAACTTATAGCCAAATGATATTTCCTTCAATCTAGTAGTGATGATATCATAGTGATCTCATTAAATTTAACGAGATAAAAAATACCGATGACTACTGTAGAGATAGAATGAAACAATGTTAAATGCAAGATTTATGGGTTTCGTGTTGTTGAATTGATCTATTCACATACGATGTAATATAGCAATTAGGGGGTCACGCTATCGATCTTTTATCATTGCGTTTAAGAATAATCAACCGTAAATGTTGGGTTAAATTTTGAGGTAATACATTGACGAATTCCCTACCTGTCTCCGATCGGAATGTTTTTCTCATTTTTCCCTTCGTAGTCACAAGAATCTATAAACGGAACTGCGTTTCTCAAGTCCCAACTGCTGTAGTAGATCCTCTTCTTGTGGGTGTCTACAGTCAGAACATAGACACCTCGGTTGTTGTAGCCCTTCAAGTGCAAAGCAGTCAGGTTGCTTCCGTCCAAGTTCATTCGGAGTAGAGAGTCTTGGCTGACTAGGAAGAGGTATCTGCAGGAAGAAAAATAATTTAATGTGTAGATAAATGCACTATTGGTAAATTTTTATTACGGATTCATTTAAAGATGTTTAAAAATCCAAATGTAAAAATAAAAGAACGAAATTTTTCATTTACAACTATGTGGATCAGCCATGATAAGAATGCAATCAACATAAAATTGAATACAGTTATTTTTACACGATTAAAGAACGTAGAGTATCTTACAAAGGTTTTTGGATGTTTTATTGATAGATCGATAAAATCTATTCTTTTTCGTTCTCATTCAGGCATGTTTTCATTATTAAAGACCACGTCATAGATACAATACAATCATTGTGCTATTAACAATAAGTATATAAACAGCATGGTGAACAATCTCTGGTCAAATAAAGTCAATGTCTTGGTATAGATTAGGGAAGTAAATTATAAACTCTACTAATTTCAAGTAGTACACGATCACTCTTCTACTCTCGCTGCATAAACGCACAACAGTTCATCATTCAGGTCTGAACCCAGAAGGAGGACTTAAATGATAAAACATCAAACTCAGAAAAAAACTTACTCTTCCATAATTTTCTATATATCAATACATAATACCATACCCATCCCATTGTAAATTTTAAAGCTTGTTTTTCGTGTCTAGTTCATGTACGTCCACACCAATCGCTGGGTTAGACAAAATTTTGTTTCTATTATTTTAGGGTTATTTTCATGAATTGTGCTTTAATATTTTGTGATGTAACTAGGAGACCAGTTTATAATTATATCGTTTCATTTGGTAAAATGAGGTTTTAAATAACTGAAATAACAAAAAAAAAAAAAAATTGCAAACATAACATAACCTCTACAGTTGGTTGTACAGAACTAACAATAAAATTGGCTTCAGCTGTTCCATAAGGATGACAAATCTACTAAGGGAGTAATCTATGACAATACTAGCCTATTTTTATGTGGATGAAATTATACCATTGAAAAATATCCAAAATTAGATTCCTTGCAAATTTTGGTGGAAGAAAATTCCCAATTTAGACCTAATCTAAGTCAAATTTAGTTTGTATTTTTGTGGACCTTCCCCTTGAACAGGCAATAGGCATTACTCGTGTATTATATCCCTATGTATCGTTGTTGTTTATATCGTACATACCTGCAACATATCTAGTATCTCTCCCTATCTGAGAAATCCACATGTGATCAAAATTATTAGTAATTTTAAACAATGGGGGATACTAAAGCACCTGCAAAACACTTAATTAGTTACAACTGTAACTGCACTTGCCCAGCATATGGTTCAACTACCAAGTTGTTGAGATTCCAATAGAACGTCAGTCCTTTAGTCAGCAGTGTCTTGTTATTGCCATCTAGGTCGCTCATCTCCACAGTCTTGGAGGTATGAGACATCCAGTAGAGCTTGCCGTGTACCCAGTCCACTGCTAACTTGGCACTAGAGTCCACCCCTACACCATCCACTACAGCCTTAGGCTCTCCCACCCTAGCCAGACTGTCTGTCTTGATCTCGTCCCTAAAGAAGTTAAATGTGGATTTAAAATAAGTAATATAAAAACCCAGAGCTTATACAAAGCTTGTTCGGGAATACCCTTGAGCAGACATGTTCATAATAAATGTTGGAAACTTATGATCATTTTATGGGTTTACAGAGATACATATAATCCAGTTTACGGCAAAGATTTTAGAACAGAAATGGTAATGGTTCGTAAACATAAACAAATGTCGCTACTGGCCCAAATGTTTTTTTTACAGTTTAATTTTAATACAATATTAATTTCAAAAGATTCTCTCGGTTTAGTAACGTAATTTGATTATGTTAATGGCCCATGGTATTTCTTTTCTAATATGCTTTCATTATTAGTTTTAAATCAAAGTATGAAAGTTAAAGACCTAATACTTTCATGATGTGGGTTAAAGGTGTCGTAATTCTAAGGGGATAATAAGTTAAATGTGGTATTAACTTTCATAACAAGTGCTGTAAAAGTGGATATCCTTTATGATTAAAGCGTTTGTTTTGGCTGTTTTAAACAAATTTACGAGTGATACGATAGGTTACGTAGGCTACATTTTTATTCCGTCTCCAGTCCTTAATTGACACATAAAGTTGACATTTTTTTACAAAAAAAGACATTTTATGATGGTAGCCGGCCACAATTATAAGGGACACACTGACACAGGTAGCACGGTGGCCACGACGGAACTCAATGTCTTTTGTGTTAACAATGTGCGAACTTTATGTGTCGACATGTATTTATATCTTATAACAAAAAGATCTGTCGTATTTATGGACCAAACGGTTTAAAGACATGGGTTTGAATATTGGTAATATCTGATCCCAAACTAGTCACCCTTGACTACATTAAGGACTGAAGACGGAATAAAAATGTACGTAACCTACCATATCATTCGTACATCAGTCCTAGTGGCAATATTGTTCAAATTAACGAGTTATTTATAAATATGTTTTAAAGATATCTGACGGTAAAACAAAGTTATTGTTTGTTATTAAGTCCACATTATTAGTGATCTAATTGACATGCTTGTTTACAAAATTATATTAACCAAACAATATTTTTTATTTAGATTTAAAAAGTATAGTTCAGAACATATTAAAAAACAAAACTATTTACCTGAATATCTGGCTTGATCCAGCGTAGAAAATATATTTTTTCTCAAAGTGGTAAGCGACACTAGGTGAGTTTTCCTTTGGATTCTGATAGTCATAGCGCAGGGTTGAGATTATTTTTGAGTTCGTCAAATCCAACACTGAGACTTGTGTAGATTGTGCCAATAAAAGCTTCGTGGAAATTGGATCTGTATATGAAAATATTACCCTACTGTAAGAAAATATACAAGGTGTACAGTTTATGTGTATACAGCCTAAAACCAGGTATTTGATCGTACATTAACAAAGTAAGGGACACCTGGACAAATAAATCAGTAATTTAAAACATGATATATTATAAAATGTAAAGATATTTAGTAAAGTTATTTCAAAACATGATGACAAAAAATATTTTTAAGTCTCAATCACTTGTATGTTACAATTTTCTAGTTCATCCGTTATTTATTCCCAATTTTATTTCAAATTGAGAAATCGTAGGGTTATGGAAAAATGTTTTCAACAGTTGAATGCGAGAATGAAATAAAAATTTTCGTCATTAAGAAAACAAAATGGTATTTTTTCCAAACTTTTGACAAACACGTGATTATATGATTGATTGAACGATTTATTTTTCCATTGAACATGAGTCTAAAAAACCTACACATACTTACTTCAGAAGTTAGTGACATCTTTTGAGTAATTTGCCATTATGAACTTACAACAAAGTTCATTTTACCTCCCAGAATGCATCCTCTGAAGGGGTTGCCCAGATATCCTTTCTTGCAGATACACAGGGGTCGATGGTCAATGACGTCACATTCTGTGTTAAAGCCGCACAAACCCTCACAAGAGTTCATACATTTGCCCAATATGCAGGTTCTGTTGGTGCTGCAGTCACCGTGTGAGAAACACTCCGTTTCACTTGCTGAAACATAAACAATGTACGTTTATATTCACGTAAGACACTTAGTTCCCATTTTTTTAATATGTATTTGTAGTTTAACTATTAAGGAAAAACTGTGAGAAAGTGATGGTGTGGAAAGTAACGTTGCGTGTGGATTATGACAGGCTTTTAAAAGGTATAATGTATTTGTTGGAAGCATTGGTTTAAATACTTAGTTAGCTCTTGTGGAAAATATTAAAAAATATAACGAGGAAATACGGGGCAATGTGGAATCATGTAGAGAAGATTCAAGTTTTCATTGTTCAATTTTCACACTATTAGTTTAGTCCATACAATTTGGTAACTAAATCAATGATTGCAACAACATGAACAATAATCAAGGAAACATAGCATATAACTAAGATAACATAAGAAAAGAGAGCAAACACTAAATTAGTGACGAATTAATGACGAAAATAACGATTAACTACGCACAAAACCATTTACTTCTTACCTTGACAAAAAGGCAGAGGTGGTGTCCAATCGCCATTGATGCAGACCGACACAGGCTTCGTGCTATTCAGAATGTATCCGGAGTCGCAATAGTAGAAGATAACCCAGTTATTGGGCATCAGCGTGCCCGGGATCATTTGGCACAGAGAAGTGACGTCATCTTGCGGACATCGTCGGGGGCTGGGGTAGTATTTACCGTTCTCCAGTGGGGGTGGTGCAACGCAATCTTTCTGTTCAGTTTTGCTTTCTGCGTTAGCATCTATTCTAAAAATGTAAACAATTACAAGATTGTTAGAACTCTAAAGGAAACTGTGAAATAGCAGATTAATAGTTACCTATAGGTATGTACTGCAATACAAATTTGATTAAGTAAATCCTGAAAAAAAATTAAATTCAGAAGTTTTATCAAACTTTTTTAAATCTTAAGTTCTCGTCCATAGACTTCATTGACTTTAAATCTTTGTAAAGAATTCTTTTCGTTTCCCTGTATTTTTAAGAATCTATAATACAAATGCTCTGTCCCCTGTTAGCATTAACTAGAGTACAATACCCTTTATAAAGAACGGTTCAGGAGAATACATGAAACACCCAACCATAATATTAAATCTTTCATAAATTGTTTTAATTACCTATTGTTTTAAATCCACTAAGTTTAAATCGAAAAATAACGTTTGCAAGATGAAGAAAGATATGCTTGAAAATATAAGTGAAGTTATATTGATGTATACATATTATTCAACATTTATTTTGTGGATATATTCCATTACCCAAAAAAATATACAGAAATAAACACATTCAATTAATATGCACTCTAGAAAAAACTGGTATACAATAAGGCACAGGATAAAATAATCAAAATGTACACAGAACTAACAGAACTCATCGATGTAAGAAAACCTGCTAAGGAGTGACTAATGCGGTATTTTGCAATGAATGCTAAAAAGGCTAATAGATTAGCATAGATGTGTTAACTCCATAAACTAGTTGCAGAAGATAAGTGTAATACAATATATAATATCCCCTGAGAAAATAAAATTGTTCTCATTAACTAGAAAATTTGCTTATAGAAATTCAAAAAGAGGTTATGCAAGTTGATGCCAGAAACGTATCTTCAGTAGCATAAAAATGTTTCAGGAACAAGAGTATTATGCAACGCCAAGAATTCTGTATTTCTCGTGGTGAAAATAATGATGGCATTAATCATGGGATTATAACCTAGTCAAAATAAAATTCTATAAAGCTAAGTTTTAAGTCCGTAGATATAGAGAATAAAAGAAAATGTATGCAATGGTTACCTCAGTATTCTACTACTACCACCAAGTGATCCTGGTGATGAATTTTGAAGCACTTTTCCTCGTTCTGCTTTTCCAACTGCCAGAACTTAAACAAAATGACTATCATGACCTTCTAATGAGAATTCAATAAGGAATATTTTGATACAGGTAAAAATAGCCTGTACTGTTAAAGTGTCAATGATAACACAGTAAAACCTCCAATTGATATTTTAAATGTAAGTAATAAGCGACAATGTGGTTTTTATCTTTGAAAAAATATGCATGTTAAAAAACTAATATTAAGATGCAAGAATGGATCTTAAATTCAAATAGTATAAGAGCCTCTTTTACTTGAAAGTTTGTCAGTATTTTGTTCTCCTTCAGTGAATAGCCATTTCCCTGCATGACTTGTAATGTGGAACAGTGATTAGTTCATTAAAATCCGTCGACACTTTATTTCTATTGAATGTAATATAATATAATTTAAATGCTAAGTATATAACTCACCGATGGCCACGGCAGCCCAGGTAACACAAATAAACAGACCACAGGCTGACTTGGAGGCCATCACGAAACTGATTTAACTGTTTGTCACACGGAGAAAGGGAAAGTTAGAATTGCCTAAGGCAAACATTTAACTATGTGAGTGTTAAATCGGTAGCAAAGCCATTGAGGAAATCTAAACCCACGGACTCCATACCTCTCCTTAGGCCACAGTTAGGTTAATTTTCAATGTGTGTAAAGTTTGCTAAAGAGTAAAGTGCTAGTTTGCATAGCTATTAAAATTATTGCCTCTTAAAGAAGATACATTTTTTGTTGGACTTTCACTCACGAACTTTATATAAGCTAGCATGTGACTTTTAATTTGATTTAAGTCATATGCTTATGTTTTTATATTTGATTATTGCCTTTGTGTGTTTCCTTGATTCAATTAAACACTAGTTTTCTATTCTGTCTAAATTTAATTTGATATTCATGAGTTTTAGAGTCAATTCCACATTTAATATGCTCTCCCCTTTATTTTTTTCCTTATAAAATATATTTTATCTGTCTTTATCGTTACAAAGATTATAAAATAAAACTTTAAAATTATAAATACTAAAAAAATCATCAGTGCAAAGAGTCATAAGTACAAAGAAATATATATTTTTGCTCTAATATATTTATCAATATTCCTATGATAGCAGTTTTACGTATCTATAATGTAATATTAACTTCTTTAAATAAGAAGTTTTTAGCGAGCTTGGAGATTAATGAATATATATTCTAAAAGACCCATCTCCGAATATTAAAAGCTAACCAACCCTTGGATTGATCTTGGAATATAAATATACCTATGGTGACATAAGTAGGCAGATTATATATGTGCAAAATTTCAGGTGAAATTGGTAAGGAATATTTTACGCTATAAAGACACTAACACCTTATTTTATCATTGTGGTATGATAAAATGTTAGTACAACTCAGTAGGCCTAGCACCTTTATACCGAAAGAGTTTATTATCAACGTCTACCTTTTACAAGCTATGTGTTTTGATGAAAGATTTAGAGGATATGTATTACATTCAGATCCATATGTCGTTCTTGTCTGGTCCACAGAGTTGTGGCAAAGATAAGACTGAGTTATTACACATAAGTCATAGCTTATAACTTTAACTGGGGTAGCATAGTTATAGCCTCTGCTTAATCTGTAGATTACAAGATCAGCTCAGCCAAAAGTTTTAAATTTAGCGGTTAGACTATCCTGTCTGTGGATTTCATTCTTTTTATAATGTAAGATAATTGATTTCAGATATTACACGTGCCTATTGTTGAGATTACTGAATCTTTTAAGTAACAAAATCAAGGAAAATATTTATTATTATGCAATGATTTAGACAGTGATTACAGTTACGAAGAAAAACAAAATACAATTTGACTTTGCTATAAGAGTTACACCCTTAAATCAATTTCAACCATAGACTAAAAATAAAAACAGTACATTTACTTTGTAAAATATTCAATTTTTTTGGTACAAACAAAAAATATTTTGAAAAGTTTGTTCTCGAAAAGATATTATATTTCTATACATTGTACAATGCGGTCGCTTACACAGCACACAAGAAGCTATGTGATTTGGGACGGGCCCAAGACAATGTATATGATTCATTTTACCGCATTCCAAAAATAGTGAGTTCCACAGCTATAATATTGCGGTATATTGCAAAAATGTTAACTTAAATAATACAGTTTTAAACAATTTGTTGTATAGTTAAATTAAACTATACATAATCTTAAAAACTTTGTCTGAAGATTTAAAAAACTCAAGTCTCATTCTAAAGAATTGTATTCAATTTATACTCACTCCTTCATGTTTGTCTATAATTTTATGATATGAGAGTTGAATATTATGGTGAAGGTTATTAGCCTTAACCATATTTAGCCTTTTACACGAAGAAAATAAAACATGGAAAAATGAATACATATAGAAATGAAAAAAAAAATCAAGTTAAAGTATCTGTTTTTATACTAATCCCACTGACATTTTTAGTCAGATTTTATCAAGGGAACGGTATGAAACCTGGAATATCCTAATCATAACCTTAGGAATATGATTCCTAGGAATCACAATTATTGTTAATGAGTCCAATAAAATGTATCCACCCTAGAGGTGAAACTAGTGATCTTTACGTTTTAAGATGAATATTAGCTTTGTTAAGTGCTGTGCAGTCATTCTACAAATAAAAAATGTTGTAATAAATTAAAAAACGAAATGTTATATTTCATATTTTTATCAATTAAAAAAAATTGTTTAACTTTTCAACTAAATACCATAAAAACTTGCGATTATTAATGCGCAACGTTTCACTACTCTGGTTCTTTCCATTCAGACTTAAATCATTCTAAGAAAGCCGAAGATCTTAGCTTGAAGGAAAACAAAGAAGGACGTTGGCCTGACCATAAACTAAACGACTGGCATCGGACGACCCACTGGGAAAATAAATAGATCCACGCCTCCACATACGTACGGTCATGACCCCAACTCACGTCGCTTTATAAACGAGTGCTTCGTATGCAAATTGCAATATATGCTGTATTGGCAAATTCCATCTTTTGGATTCACACGTTGAACTATAAAAGAAAAGTATTAGATTTTCTAAAATGTTTAATTTCTTGCGGACCTTTTTATTTCCTAATTTATAACTTTGACTACAAATTACACTATTAATCTCCCGTGTATAATATATGTATCTTCCATAATTTACTTTTCAAATAAAGATGGAGAGGTGTACAGATTGCTTGCCTTCTTAAACATATCTAAAATAGTCTAATATTAGATTTCAATAACTCTTACAAAATATTTACAACGTTGTCATACCTAAATAACCTGACCACTACATCTGAAATTTTATCATGTCATATTTTAGTCCACGTAAGAGATCGACTGAGTTGGACGAGCAAATATGCAGCATAACTTGTAACGTATTCGTAGTAGATTTGAATGCGTGATTGATGCCTAACAAATGTAGAGTCTGGTAAATGCACACCAGACACTGTTGTAGTTAGTTAAATTATTTCATACGCATAATTATTATTATAAACTGTTATTAGAACAGTTTGTAATAATAACTATTATAAAATTATTATTGTAAAGCATAATTATTCTATATGCTGTTAAGAGTGCACTTTTTATTCATTTGAGTAAAAGAACAATTGAAAGGTCGTAAGAATTCTTTAGAATTCGTAAGAACTTTTATTCACTGGCTACAAATGAACTATTCTGTTTTAAAGTTTTAAAGTTCTTTAATTTTTTAAATTACAACACAATGATTCTGTGTTTGATATAAACCGTTATAATAGCAGAGTACCCGTCCTTTGTATGGAGTTAGCATACAAGTATAAAATGCTTATTGCAGTTATACTCGAGCTTTGCGTTTGCAATGGGGGGGCTATCATCATGCCAAATTTCAGCCCAATCCATCCAGTAGTTAATGCGTGATTGAACTTCAAACATAAATAAATAAATAAATAAAAATGTCTTTATTCAGCGTTTCTCTGGTACACCAGCTTTTCAGAACAACTTTTGTCACTATGCTAAACATCTTATTCAACAATCAATTATACATAACAATTTGAAATTTTTTTACTAAACAATTCAACATATCAATGTGGTCGTTATACACTTAGATCGTTATAAACAAACAAACAAACAAATACACAAACTTTCAAATTTATAATATTACTAAGATAAGATTTATTTTACGTAAAACCATACCAATATTGACTAAATGCAAGTTATCATAACTAAATTCAAATTTATACACAAATACATATTCATTTCTTAATATATAAGCCTGAGATTTTTGTGTACGAATTATTTCAAAGGATTTAAAAGGAATCCGCAAGGTGTGATAAGTAAACAAACAGTACAAAATAATACTGTATTTATTCCTTCATAAATCTTACAAAAAAATTATTATTATTAAACTAAAATGCTGAACCCTCCTGGTCTATGAGTTTTCATTACATGTGCTCCGTTTGGACGTCAGGGTGGTACACGTTCAATCCAAGAAATCCCTAAAAACATTATTTTGGTAAAATAGTTTTGTATGCTCACTCAATTAACTAACATATTAAGTAATGTAAAATATGATAAATATTATTCTGGTTGAATAAAAAGTTCGGATTAAATATTACATTTCAGAAAACACTTTTCCCTTTTGGGTCAAAAGATTTGGTCAAATAAGATAGCCAAAAACTTTTTTTTACCTCACACATAACCACAGGGCATTCTAGCCAATTATTGTCTCATGTTATAGTCGTAGGTTATGTATTTTAATCAAATAAAAGTTTTTTACAACTGAATAGTTAAGTGTTATCCTCTCAGTTTTGTTAACGCTTCAAATACATTTTTGGTCAAGAAAAATCCTATACATATCTTCAATTGATAAAACAATATTCCTAAAAGGTTTGCAACTATGTAATCTAGATATGATCTTCATCCAAAATCTGAACCGCTCTTACAGTTTGATACATGAAATATACTTTACCTTATCCACAGACTGTACAAGCACTGGTGTAGGAACAGGGTTTGACAGATCCACACTCCACACTTCGTCATACTGACCTCTTTTGAAATGGCCGAAAAACACAGTATCCTTAAATACTGCTATTGCGTGGATTTCACTAAATCTAAAATAACAGCAAATAATGTGCAATTAGTATTAGAAACGTATAAATTAAATAATTTATTGCTTTTAAATAACTGAATAAATCATGAAGCACTGTTAATTGAGAGCTTGGTTATGTTTTGAGTTAATTTTACAATTCTAAAGAGCAATAAGTTAGCCTCCCTTTGAACTTTATTGGAGAATGTGTTAATTTAGTTAGTATTTACATAAATTTATTATCAAGCAGACGGTAAACTTGCATGCATTTTCTTTTTAGAAAGAAATATGTACGCATATCACACGGAACCTACGATAGAATACATATAAAAAATTATATAACACAATTAAATAGGAATTTTATCTTTAAAAAATGTGGCTAGAAAATAATCAAGGCCTCGTATCAAAAAAAAAAAAAAAAAAAAAACGTTAAGGATAATGTCTCTATTAAAATATTCACATTAGTTCTATGAATTGATCACTATATTCTTTATAATCAGCAAACAATAGGATTTCAAAATTTTCATACATACAAGTAATTGACTATTATTATAAGGTTCTTTACAAATGAGGATATTCAACAATTTTAATAACGATATTAAAAACTTTACTTTAAACAGTCATAATCTTAAGGTAGGTCAACTTGTTTTCGTCACAAAAGATCTTACTCAGAAGCTACTAAACCATGAATCGGACCACAATTAAAATGTTTTCATACCTATCCCCAATGGGGACATCCTTCCCATCTTTGCCTTCATAGTCACATGACTCGACGTAGGGTGTCACCTCCTCCAAGTCCCAGCTAGTATAGAATATTCTTCTCTTGTGGGTATCCAAGGTCAGGACATAGACCCCTCTTTTGCCGTCGTTGGTAAGATTAATTTGAGTGTTATTGGAACCATCCAAGTTCATCCTAAATATTGAGTCGTTGCTAACATAGAACAGGAGCCTAGAAAATCAGAAGAACGTTTTAAAAGATCCAGTAAATATGTAACATGTGTCCTATGAATATGCTAGGTCATTATCAATACTCATTTGTTAGATTATTCGTAAGCTTTATACAACCAATTGTGTAAAGATGAATGTGTAAAATGATTTACTGACCTAATTTTACAAACCCTATAAACACTATAATATCCTTTTGAACTACACCAATTATCTGTAAATACAGGGTGTCCCGGAACTCTCTACCAATAATTTAGAGCATTGTTCCTGGGTAAGAAACACCTACCCATATGTAATATTTAAATTGTCCGTAGGTCCTTAGTTACTCACACAGCCACCATTTCGTTTTATTCACTTAGGTTTTTTTTCTAAAAAGTGGTTAAACATATGAAATTGAAACTTTGCACACAGATTTATGGCAATTGTACAAAGCTACAAAAGAATTATGAAAATTTTCCAAATTCAAATGCAAAATTGCACCCATTTACTGCTTTGTTTCTTAAATAACACAAAACTCACTGATTTTACAAAAGTTTTACAAGAGTAACTTGTTCAAGGAAATTTTTGCGTATGTTTATCCATTTTTCAGAAAAGAATTATTAAGTGAAAAAAAAACATAATGGCGGCTGTGTGAGTAACTAAGGACTTCCAGACAATTTAAATATCATATTTAAATGTTTATCCCCGAGGAACAATGCCCTAAAATATTGGTGGAGAATTCCGTGACAAGACAATTTCCTAAACGCCAAGAAATAAAGTTTTGATTTTAAAGGAGGAAAATGTCGGTTTTGTCAACGCCTCCTTTATTACAAATCTTAACTTGTTAGATAAAATATAAATTAAAAACCATACACTTATTTGATATATTATGACATATTTTCTAAGGGATTTTAAAAACTATGGCACAAGACGCCTACACGAAGCAAATAAACTAAACTCTATGTATTGGAAATAAATCACAAGCTAAAATACTTTAGAACCAACTCTTTATGGTCATTGTCCATAAAGAGTTGGGTAAAAGTGTGGATAAACCTAGCATAATTTATGTATCAACTAAACAAAAATGTGGTCACACGATAAAGCTTGAGTACTTTTCATCTTCCTTTCATATATAGGGGATGTTTGTTACACACTGAAAATGAGAAGGCAAACGATGGTTTTTGTTTTGACAGAAGACTACAGAAGAAGACTGACAGTGAAAGCTTACCCAGCGTAAGGATCAACAGCAATGTTGTCTAGGTTCCAGTTGAAGGTCAGTCCGGAGGACACCAAGGTCGTCCTGTTGCCACCGTCCAGGTCACTGACCTCTATGACCTCAGCAGTATGGGACATCCAGTAGAGCTTGTCATGTACCCAGTCCACTGCTAGCTTCACATTAGCATCAACCCCTGATGAGACCACAGCTACTATTGGACCCGTCCTGGTAAGACGGCCAGCCACCTCGTCTCTAAAATATGAAGTAGAAATAGTATAAAACTGCCAAACTCCAATAATATTACTTTATTGGCTTTATATTACTTTATTACTTTAAGTGTTCACAAGGTTAGCTGGTATGAAATGGCATAGTACAGTACAGTACCTATTTTAAACAGTTTGTGCAGTTGTTTCTTAAATTTTAGGAAGATTTTTTTTCCTGCTAGAAAGACCTGAGTCACTACAGTCAGATAAAATACCCCCGTCGCAGCAAACCTGACAACTAAGCGAATTTCCATTTGTCTGAATTGATTTTCAATTAAATATATTTAAATAACATTATAGGTCGAGTAGTATTATAGGTTTGCTGCTACAAGGAAACTAATAAAGTGTGTTTTTTAGTAAAATATTAATAGCTTAGTACAAAATAAATAAGTTTGCCAAGTTTGATCAAAATATATCCCTACTATATATACTACTATATATACTACTATATATATATATATATATATATATATATATATATATATATATATATATACCAAACTACAACATTTTACAATATTCTCCATAAGAATAACATAGGAATTTTAAATTTACATTTTTTTTTATTTTCTCCGTTACCAATAACCGTACAAAAATAATTTTATATACTAAATTATTTGTTTTTTAAGCTCTTTAAAAAGGTCTAAAGAGAAATTGGGAAACTTTGTGTTTTGAAGGTCAAAACTGAGAAAAACCAATTTTTACCCCATAAAACCCCCCGTAAAGCCCTCTTCCCATGGTCCGATCATGCTGGTTCGCAAAGTCATTTAAGTTTATCCCGCTTTACACCTTTAAACTAAATTTCATCAAAATCGGACAAAAATTACACAAGTTATCGCGTTCACAGACACATATATATACATCTATATATATATATATATATATATATAAATTTGAACGAATGGTGTTTTTGGCCTCTGGGGACATCAAAATGAAAAAGTAAATCGCTCCCGGGCTTAGGTCTTACCATGCCACCTACGGTAATAGCCACTTCCCTATAGGGAAATTCACTAAAACCAGAATAGTAAAAGGTTCGTGAAGTAGTCAACTTTCCATGTACATGTGAATACACTGAAAATACGCACAAAAACGCAAAAGAAATTAACTATTCTCATATTTGTTTCTATATTTAATTTGGTTAATACATTTTATTGTGTTAGTTTTTTAAGAGGTTGGTGCTTTCTTCTGACTTTGGATACAATTATTTTATCCATATCCAAAGGCTATGGAAACGAATTGCTTTGAATATTTCCTTAGTAGCTTATGCTTTTTCTGCATATGCCTACTGTTATCTGTTGACTTGTAAAAAGGTGGAAGTAGTTAGTTCAGTTCCATGTACGGAAATATCAGGTCTGTAATAACTGTAAAGGTATAAAAACACACAATCCATGTTATTATCTGAAATATTGATTTCATACGAGTTCTGGATCTAAATTATCTTTCATTTACCTGTATATCTGATTAGTGCCAGTGTAGTAGATGTATTTTTTGCGATAATGGTAAGTAACGCTTGGAGAGTTTCCTTTAGAGTTTCCCTGTGTATAGTGTAGTACTGATACTATCTTTTGTCTTTCCAGATCAAGCAGTGACACTTGGGAAGACTGTGTTAACAGAAGAGTCACTGGAACGGGGTCTGCAAAGATCAAAATAACAATAATTACGAAAAAGATAGAATGAAACCATTGAGTAACCAGCACAAGTAGACTACTCGTCCCATTGTAAATTTTGAAGCTCGTTTTTCTTGAATAGCTCATGTCACACCAGGCGTTAGTGTGGACGAAATTTTCTTTATATTATTTTCAGTTAATTTTATCATTTGTCCTTTACTGTTTGGTTTTATAACTAGGGTACGAGTTATTGTTTATGATTAGATCATTTATTTGGCTAAAGGAGGTTTTAAATTACTTAAATAACTAAAAACAAATTTGCAAACAAAACATGACCTCAACAGTGCACCGGACAGAACTAACAATAAAATTGGCTTCAGCTGTTCCATAAGGATGATAAATCTACTAAGGGAGTAGGCTTATGTTTGATCTATGATGAAACTCTGGTTTGTATAAAGAAGAAACTATAAAAATACTGGAACCCCTATAGCATGTATCTGTAGTCCTACTATTTTTTATATCTGTGAAAATAAAGGGGACCTTTTGTCAACTAACTTTCTTAGCTTCCACTATGTGTTTAATTGTTTTGTTGGAGTAACAAAGTGCAACATTCTCTAACAGTCTTACAGTTGTTGATTTGTGAGCTATAAAACATGTACTATCTTAATAATAAATTATTTTACCCTATAACATCCTTATATCCATCATACGACTTCTTAGACCAGCCTTCAACTTACTATTTTATAACAAAAACCTACTTTAGAGTAAGCTTTATGAATCCATACTCTTACCTGACAATCTCTCTGCAATGACACAATGATATAATTTCGTACAGGCACAAAAAACGGCAATGATAAACCATGAAAACCTGTACAATGGTCGAGGCGCACATCAGCAAACGTGCTCATGAAGTAAATAAACCATTTCGTCTAGTCACTTTTATCAAAAAAATTATATAGGTATTTACTTGAACAACAAGTAACTCAATATTTTTTTTCGATAATGTGCATCCTCATAGGAATACTATGAACAAAGCTCATCCAACTAAAAACTGAGACGAAATCACGGTACCTCCAAGTATACATCCTTTGAACGGGTTCCCCACGTAGTTCTTCTTGCAGTTACACAGCGGCCTGTGTGACGTCACTTCACACTCGGTGTTGGGCCCACAAAGACCATCACAGGAGTCTGAACACTTGCCCACGATACAGGTCTTGTCACCGGGACAATTGTCATGGCTGGAACACTCGGCCGCGCCCACTGCAACATTGAGATTTTAAATCAATATGTATTGCTGCATCTACAATTCGTTTTGTATTTATATGTAAGGTAAAACGCAAGGTTGCACTTTGACGGCTGTGACAGTAATAAGGTAATTAAAAGTATAGACTTCTCGAGAGAGGCTTTTAAGCTTGGGAGGCACAGATTAAACTCAGATTATTTTTGAGCAGTAGAGTATGTTTTTAGTTTAACAGAACATTTATACACAATATAATGAGGTTTTTTGTATTTTTTCGAGAATATAAAATACCTTTCTGACTCTAGGTAACATGATAAAAAAATATTCAAGCCACTCTTTCATTGTTTTATAAAAATGCGATAGGCGGTACGTATTTGGGTTTTTCCTTCTACACCATAAGCATTTTTTGATCATATTGATATGCTAAGTACGAATACAAAAGGTATTTTACATATTAAATAAATGTTAAATGATAATGAAAACAATTGTATGGTTTTTAAAGGTATTTTTAGTTAAGGGTTCACGCAATTTTGATTCCCTTGAGACAAATTAGTTATTTTATTCTCCCAGACCCACAAAAAGCAAACAAATGCCACCACCAAATTTAAAATCTGTTATTAAAGTTATTAAGAAAACAATAAATCATACTACACGTCATTTTTTTTTTACAAAATTTTCTTAAAACAGTTGCATATGAACCTGAGGTCAAGAGGAGCGGCCCCGCATGAACATCTTCAGATTCAAGGCCGTCTAACGTTATTGCTGTGTGATCTGGAAAATATTTTCCTCCATTTTAACAATGTTATAACGGTTATGCGTTAGAAAAGCTTAAGACTCAAAAACCGTTATCTACACTTAATTATATAAAAAGTAAGAGACTATAGTTGGATTTTTAAGTGTTATGGATTTTAAGAACAGCAAAATATATAATAAAACTAAAAATATATGAAATTCGAAAAATGACAATGAGAATGGAAAATGTTGAATATAATGCTCCATCAGATCAGGGTTTTTATAAAATATAACAGATGCAGATTGTTAGGAATTATAAGCTAAATGTTCATCAGTGAAAAAAAAATCATTAAATCAGTATTGTTTGAAGAACGTTAACAAAGAATTCTTCGTTATTTATGTCATGAATATGAGAGTATTAAAACAACTTAAACATCATGAGTTCTAAAAAACAATAAGTACGACCCTGCTTCAGTTGTTCTTCAGTTCTGCTACGTGATAGTTAACATTATTACTCATATTACCATTATTAACATTAACATATTAACATTATTACCTGCATATTACTCGTCTAAGAAGGTCAAATACTAAATATTATTGAATGTGGAATAGTAAAATACCAACACTCCAAACGTACTTCTAAACTGCCTCAGGGACATTCGTAGAAGTAGTTCATGGCTACCAGCAGGAATATTGTAAACAATGTAAACGCAATGGTTGTCAGATTGTACTTATTAAAATCTGAACTCAGTAAAGCTTTAGTGACCTTCACACACAGGCAGCGGTGGGGTCCAACGGCCCTTCACACACACAGACACAGGCTTTGTAGTGTTTAGGGTGAAGCCGGAGTCACAGTAGAAGAAGATGACCCAGTTTTCAGGTACAGGAGTACCGGGGATCATCTGACAGGCTGGGGCGAGGTCTTCAGGCGAACATCTCCTGGCACTAGGGTAGAACTTCCCGTTCTCCAGAGGTGGGGGTAGAACACACCCGTCGTCTCTGGAGCTGGTACTGGAAAAATTATAATTCCAGTTGTGTTTCCTTTTTGCTTTTAAATGTTCACTTTAGTGGTACAAAAATCGCTTTATTGATCTTAGAAACGTGTGTAAGCTTTGGGTAGCAGTAGATAACATGATTAGCAAATTACGAAACTACTATGTAATTACTATAGAATAAATTCGTGATTGGAGATTGGGCGTAAGTATGTGAATTTGAATGTAAGGTCTGGCTACGCGCAGGCCAGATGTGGACTATCTCATCAAATCCATTTATCGAGAAATGTTACATTTAGCAAATCTCGAACAATATTTTCATTATTCATGCCACCACTTTCAAAGAGTTTATTATGAGATATTTTTATTTTTCTTGCATTAAGAGAGGCATTTATTCATTCTGTACTCTCCACCACACATAGACCTGTACAATAGACTGCTACACTTCATATCGCGAGGCAATGTTTGTCCATCCTCAATACTTAAACACCAGCTATAATAGCAGACTTAAAAGCTTCAATCAGTTTACAATACGAACTATCAACAATGGCATCAAATTAGCTTCTATCAGCTGACAATACGAGCTACGAAAACCATATCGGGTTTAGTGATGAACATTTAAAATTAGGTACAGACTTTTCAGCCACCCTGTATATACGCAATACTAGCACTTGCGTTTGGTCGACCCTGAATGAGTTTTTCTAATTAATTGCTACGTACAAATTTATCTCTTATTTTTGTCATAAGACTGTGGGCGACCTAATCAATATACTTAATACTTGCACTTACGTTCTTTTTCTTCTAAAGAATAAATTCTCTTCTGTATCAAGAACCCGTTTGGCCCAGCATAAATCTGTTAAGACTGAAATGAAAAAATATTGAGTACAACATTTGGAAAAATTAATACTTAAAAACACTACTTTATTTTCATTCAGAATATCATGGTTTTTGGGGTTAGTTATTACAATTTACACAAAAACAAAATAATTAGTAATTAATTGACTTTGTCTATTTTAATTGTATATTTTGAACTTTAAGAATCGCTTTTGTATTACTTTAACGTCCAAAGAGTCAAAATATGATATTAAAAAGAAAGAATAAGATTTCTTACGCGTCTCATAGCTATCGAGAAATATTTATTTTTGCCCCAGTTATAAAATTGTTAGAATGATGTAGACTAAGAAGTATTGATGTAAAAAAATTACGATTAAAGAATTAGAATAGTTTTAAACTAAGTTCTAAAAAAGACCAGAGTCGACTATATAAGTTTAAATTGAAAGGAAATCAATGAGTGAAGGATGAACTCTTCTTTTTGGATCACACGGTGATTGATCAGTGTGATCTACCAACATATTTTGCTGTAGCTCTTTGTAGCACATAAGTTAATTTACGTTCTTTGGAAGGAAATAAGTAAACATTATTACATAGGACATTATATATTATACAGGATGGTTCTCTCCTACCTTTAACATAACCATTATAAAACGTCTGAAAACATATCAAGCACACTCCATAAATTATTGTGGAAAAAATATATCTACAGTATATGGTAAAATTTGTCATTACATAAGCATTTAAATAAAAAATCATTATTTATTGAATAATAATTTTTTACCACGAGTAATATTAGTTTTTATTTCTTTAAGATATTGTAAAACAAACTATACTATACTATACAGGGTGTCTCGTAACTCTCTGGACACATGTATATAGCGTTATTGCTTAGGTCAAGACAAACACATTTCACCATAGGAACATGGGTCTGTGGTGTCTAGTTTACCAACTGTCGGCATTTATGTGTTTTTTACAAAAACACTAATAACTCCTAAACGGTTTGAGATGCAGCTTTGATATTTCACAAAAATGTTTATCATATTAAGACCTATTATCGTTAGAAATTATACTAAAAAATCATTAACAGTTTAAAAATGGCGGCCATTTTAAATATTTGCTGCCAAATTTCTTCTTTACAAAAAACTTGCAAGAGACAAAAAAGTTTGTAAATTTTATTTAGTTTTCAACAATAACTTATTTGTTAAGATTGGATAGATAATAACAGAGAAACGTGTTGTTTTCGTAATGTATGACCACTTTTCTCCATTTAAACAATGTTAAACAACGTAAAAGGAGTATTAGCATTGTTTAAATGGAGAAAAGTGGTCATACATTACGAAAACAACACGTTTCTCTGTTATTATTTATCTAATCTAAACAAATAATGTATCATTGAAAACTACATCAAATTTACAAACTTTTTATCTCTTGCAATTTGTTTGTAAAGTTAACGGATTTTGTGAAAATTGGCATCAGATATTTTAAATGGCCGCCATTTTAAAACGGTTAATGATTTTTTAGTATAATTTCTAATGATAATAGGTCTTAAAAAGATAAACATTTTGGCAAAATATCACAGCTGTATCTCAAACCGTTTAGGAGTTATTAGTTTTTTTTGTAAAAAACACATAAATACCGACAGTCGGTAAACTAGACACCACAGACCCTTGCTCCTATGGTGAAATGTGTTTGTCTTGACCTAAGGAATAATGGTATATACAAGTGTCCAGAGAGTTACGGGACACCCTGTATAAACTATACATTGCGGGTATAGACATTGGGCGCATACCGTTCTTAGTATGCATACAACTATACAAACTAGCAACACACTTCTTAATGGAACATCGAGTTCCTACTGCTTAGATGTTCATGGAGGTCGAGTGCATTGTTCAAATCCTAACAATCAACTGGTTGTTTGTAGCTCTCCTTAAGCTGTAGGTTTACTGTACATAGTAAGAAAGATATTTACCTTATTTGATGAAGAATAGTTCTCTACGAAAATTAATCCAATTTACCCTAATTGTCACTTTTAACTATAATATATATTTTTTTTTGTAGTAGTGAAATTTACATTTAGTTGATACAGGTTTTTTCTTTTTTGAACTCAACACTATCTGAATTATGACAAATACAAAATTACGAAGTTAGAACACACGAAATAGAAATACATACCAAATGTTGCTACCCAGATAATCACAACACAATCACTATATCTCGATCCCATCGCAAATCTACGATAACTGTTTTCCTACTGAGGAGAACGCTTTGTTTGTGGAAGGGGAGAGAACTGGTTGGCCTCCCACACTGAGTCTTCCTTGTATTTACGTGAATGACTGTGGTTTGAACTTGACCTTGATTTTGGACAAGAATATTTACCCGAGCTAGCTTTCCTCTTCTGATGTGTATTTGGTAGCTGAATATCCAGCATTCGATATTTATTGGTCTTATGTGATCGTTGGATATTCACAATATGCTGATCAATCTCATTGCATTAGTTGGAATAACACCTGGACGCACGCATATTAATTATTTTTCAAATTGTTGCATCATATTTTATTTTGAAAACTATTGTTATTTTTGAGTCTTGCCAACATAAAATATGGCGGATCTAAACTATGAATGTACTGTACGTCTATAAACTGAAAAAATCCAGCCACTTAAAAAAAAAAAAAAAAAAAAAAAAAAAACTGTTGATAAGGACTAATATTCTTAAGATTGTACACTTGCCTTTTCGTCATACTGCTCAGAAACAGCCTATTTTTATACATGCCTTGCGGTAGCACGATTACTCTGTAGGGAGTAAAATGCCTTTCTACCCCGTCGGAGTAAAAATATGCTGTTGTAAACAGTTGTTGATGTCAAATGTAGCAATCGAATGGATCGACATGACTTATCGATTTATTCATTGGGGAAGATTTTAGCTCTTGTTGCATTCTTAAAAATAGTTCGACATGTCAATGGTATAATGTAAAATATCGTCATGAAGAAATGTTTAAATCATATAATGAACAGAATTAAAAATAAGAAGCTGGTAGTCGTTTTCATAGGTTATCTTTAAATTTAAAAAATAGTTTCGTTTTATAGCTTAGTTTGTAAACTGATGATGCAATATGACAAAAATTCACACACAGGCAAAAACTGTCTTTTCAACACTCACTCATTTTCCAACCTCGGCTTCGCCTCTATCGTAGAACTTGATCTCGGGTTGAAAAAAGTTAACTTAAACATGATGAAATATACTATACATATATTTACGCTTCATACTGTAAACAGCATATGTAAACAATACTGAAAAATTATAATAAGCAATAGATTCTAATTTTTATACCTGTATGATTTGTTGTGCTGCATTAAACATTAAAGAAGCAACAACAAATACAAATACCTTTTGACAAAATATTTAAAAGCTCGTTGCTTCTACGGGTGTCTAGTGAAAGAAACAAAATAATAAACATGAATATGTGGTTATGCCATTGAATATTATGTTTAAAAGATTGATATTGAAAGATATTGCTGTCAAACTTTTTACAAAGTTGAGATGAAGTGCGGATTGCAGATGTGACTAAATAAAAACGTTTCACAATTTATTGAATTCGATGGTTTTTATATTGAAGTCTTTGAACAGTTTGTAAGATTTTAAAATCTGTTTATCTCTTTGGAAATTATTTAGTAAAATGTATGTAAATATTTCTTATTACTGTGTAATTCTTTGCTTTTTGTTACAAAAACTCTTCACAATCGAATTATATTACCTCTTAAGACTTTAATTAATTTCCATTTGGGTAGTTGTGTATTAAAAAAATATTATAATTAAATATATCTAAAACTAAAACTTAAAAACCCAATAAGGGAGCCAGTCACAAACTGCTGCTTTCCAAAATCTAGAGTTTTATTTTACAAATTTATGTTTTGTGTAGGCCTATTATTCACATCTAAACTTTCACATTTATAATATTAGTAAACTGGAAAACTAGTCTTGTCACTAATATGTATATTAACATGTTCCTTACATATATTTATTGAATAGTATTGGTAAGATATTTTTGTTGTTACCTTGATTGTCTAGACTCTTTCTGATTCGTTTATACAGATGGTTTGGATATCAATTAAAATTTCGTTTATCTACTTCCATTTTGTTTTCACACAATATTTGAATTAATTTACAATAGTCTATAACTCTATTTTATATACTTAATAACCCCAAGTTTTCTTTTACTTGAATGTATCGTTTGAATTCTATTGAAAACACAGTAAACGTCGGTGAAACTTTAGTAAATCTTTTAGGAAAACAAAGACGAGACAATTGCAAGACTATAAACAGAACGACAAGCAGTGGACGACCCGCAGGGCAAGATAGATAGGACAAGCTTCTCCACACAAACACGTCCCAATAATACACTCGAATACTCTCAAAACAGCCCGAGATACTGCTTAAGTATCATGAAAAACACGTGTTCTGTAGTAATGATACACCAAGGACTTCGTTTTTCTTTATATTACTCTTTCGATTTTTCTAGAGTCAGTTGATAAACCAACACTTTTTTTAGACAGCAATACTGATGAAAAAAGTACATTTTCGGTGTGGAGGGTTTGAGATAATTCTATCTTATGTTTAAAATCTACTATGTATACAACAATACTTGATACATATGGGAACCCAGTGTATCTAGTGTATCCCAGTGTGTGTAGCGGTTTTATCAGCCAGCCAATAGGGTTACTTGTCCGATAAAGCCAATGGCATAATGTAAAAAGGTACAGCATTCAAGAAAAAGTGCTAACGATTCTATTTTTGCCAACTGAACTCACTGCTGCTACGATGTAAGTCCTTCTTGTTTAGCTAGTAGCCATCAGATAACCCGATCATTTCAAAAAATTGATCTTATCTAACTTATCTTATCCAGCCTAGAAAACCACGGTTTCAAGTGGCTTAAAACTATTTTAAATTTGCTGAGACAGTATTGATAAAAAACGTGGATCTACTTTTTAAGCGATGTTTTTAAACATTAACCCATCGTGTATAAGGAGACTGAGTCAAAAACACCTTCAATAATCACACCTTCTACTCATAAAAGTATTAGAAACACCATCTTTACTAAGAAGGTGTTCTACTAGAAAGTCCAATGCTACGAAGGTTCTGGCCTTGTAAAATATGAATAACTATCGCAACCTTTCAAAATGTATCTATTAAAATGGTAACTACCTGTTATTCTTGTAGATATTTTATCATGGGTTTTAAAGTCTTTCATACAGCTAAAAGTAGTTCAAAATAACAAGATTTGAGCCCGGGACCTCCAAAATCGTGACCCTACGCTTTACCACTAGACGTGAGTGAAGTTTTATAAGGTGGCACAGTAAATAATCTTTAGCCAAAAGAACGGTGTAATATCTTGGAAGGAATGTGACACAGGCAACGTCTCAATATTGGATGATAGAAAACGCTTTTCTCGCATAATTTAGGGATAACTTGGAGGTGTAAATTTAAAGACATTTGATCTTCAAAAGCGTTTCTTTAGGATTCGTGAATTTACAAGCAAAATAATTTACATAATGGAAACTGTAAGAGATATTTTGTTTCATGTTTAATTCCTTGTTTTAATAACAAGCCACAAATATTTATTACGTTTTATCATCCTAAGCAGTTAAAAAATCCTGGAAAGTGTATTATGTTCACGAATGAAAAGAAGTTTTCAATAAAATTCACGAACTCATTCTATTACGTTGTCGAAGTTTAAAAATGACAACTTTATAAACAACTTATTTTAGAGCGTACTTTAATCTAAAGTTTGACATTCTGTGCTAATGTAATGCATAACAAGTTTGAGTTAGACGTGTTGTCAGTCACAGACAATTTGCATCACCACGTGTATGATTGGGTCTGTCATGCGAGTGAATATCAATTTAAACCATGAAACCTAGTAATTTACATATTGATTGTATTAACTTCTATGATTTTATATACTTTTTACAGATAATTATTTTCCCCCCATATTGAAGTACTTACTATTATTTTTATCAAACGATTTTTTTACCGATTGGTTATAGTAGATTTTCTTTTATATTCTGGATTGAATAACTAGGCTATTACCGTAAGTTTCATAGTAATTCCTATGCTTGTGACCGATTTACTTTGTCATCTTCATGTCCCCAGAGACCAAAAATACCATTGAAATATCATCCGATTTAGATGTAATCTGGTACAATACAGATGTAAACGTGTAAAATTACGTTTATTTGAAAGAGCTCACGAACCACCATGATCGTACCAAGAAAACGGAGTTTATTAATAGGGGTTTTTATGGTAAAACGGGGGTTCCAATTTTTTTTCCATCATTTTAGCATCCTGTAGAGCTTAGAAAACAAATTATTTAATATCCTGATGTGTTTTTTTTACTCTATATATTTACGAATAAATTTACAAAAGACTATAAATAAAAAGTTTCCACGTTATTCTTATGAAGAATACTTAAATATTTGTAGTAAGCCGATTTTAAATCCAACCATAGTGTATATATATTTGAATTTAATCTTTTATTTTATCTGATTTGAGAGATGGAACCACGAATTTCCACGAGATAGAATGAACCTACTAAAACTCCCCATATTATAAGCTGATATTAGAAGACTTAAAATATCCCCTGGGGATTATAATTGTTCAAATTTACTCGTACATTTTAAGTTGGCCAAAGTTAAAATGTTAAACTGTATGTAAATAACATTTCATACAGAACTAATACAAAATTATTAGTTTATTTGGTCCATTTAAAATCCTGTTTTCAATTATGTTGTTTGTTGTCCTTAAAGTACCTTTAAGGATGTAACGATTAAAGGATGTAAAACAGTCTATCACCTTATACAGTAGCTGCAATGTATATATGCACGTTAAATCTAATGTTAATATCTACAATCGTAGACAAAAGTTTTTAAATTGAAAATTTTGTAAACATAATAAGTATAACAATATTTGTCTTAAAGCATATCTTATAGTGCAAAAGATGTTTTAGTATAATTAACTATGTTTTAAAATGAAAATAACTATATGAAATGTGTGTAAGTCTCTTGTACGTACTAGATATAAACCATAGTTAGGAATAACGATAGTGTAGCATACAGTATACAGGCTCGGCAGCAGTATTATAAAGAGCGGGTGAAATGGTCTGAACATTTATAATGAGCGGGAGAAATGGCGCCGAGCCAGAAACCCGCCAGAAATGTATGCACTTTGTGTGGCTACATTATCTTGCTT